AGGTTTATCTAAAGAAGTCTGAAGCAGGTGAGACGAAACCGCCTATGTCACACGCCAGTTGGATGACCTACTTCACGTGCAAGCAATACTTAATTATTCTGACAGCCGCCTTTCCTTTTAAGTCTGGGCATTTAATAACGGTTATTTAAGGAAACTCCAAAAGCATGCAAAGCCCTAGGAGATCTTTCCTTATAAATAGTCAGTCGTAGCCGCCAAAGAAAAGAGGTAAGGAAGAAGAGATAAGAGCTTTATCCAAGGCATGAGCAAGCAACTGCTGTGCTTCTTCATCGTCTACCCACCGACTTTCCTTGGTTTCCTCCATAGCCAGACTTTAGCAAAGCGGTGATCAAGTCTCGAGAGAGGCTGATCACCAAGGCAAGCACAGTGCTGATCAGAATCATCGCGACAGAGCCCCCAATTTTGGGAGTTATTCTTCTTTTGTTCTAAACGCTTTATCTATTTGGGGTTGTATTAAACATTGAATCTTGGATGATTTTTGATAGCATCATGATTGTCTTACTAGATGTTAAACTTTGTTTTGCCTGAACAATATTCTTTTGTTTTATTAATGATGAATTATGTTTTGCTTATTATTTATTTTGCTCATAGTTTAAATATTTTACCTTACGCTGTAAGAGCATCGAGAGATCGTCTGGGGTTTTGGTAAAACATGTCTTGGAAATATAAGAGCATCGAGAGATAGCCTTTTGTCTAGATAGTGATTCTTAGATACGAGAGAATTAAGATAGATCCACGTGAGCAATGGAATGAATCCGGGATGGTGAAGTTCTAACTTGTTACCTTCGAGATAAGGAGTGAGTTTCAATCGACTAAAAGGGATAGACGCTAGAGTAGGATAGACAACGCCTATAGTTTACGCTAAGAGGTATTACTAAAACAACAGTTTGACAAACTAAGGGTTGTAGTTAACGCAGAGGAGTATTGCCATAGCAACCGTCTAAGAATACCTAGTAATCCTGTCGGGCAGCTTTCGCAAGTCATAATAATTTATTTTAGACTCGGAATAATTGTTGTCAAAACAAAAGTTTAGCATAAGTGCTCTGTGATATGTCTAAAAATGTGAGGTTGTTTCCATTATATTTAAATTAACACTTGTCTTGTTTTATTTTATTTTAGTATTCTGCATACTTATTTTGCCTCGACCAAACTTTACTGCAATCGTTAAATCACTTCTTTGTTTTATTAATATTAGTTCTTAAGTTGACAATCTCGTAGGACTTAGTGTGTGGCACTAGTTCTAGTTGTGGTGAAATATATTTCCAATCCAATCCCTGTGGAGACGATACTCACTTACCCTATATTACTTGAATCGATTTTGTATACTTGCACATATATGCTTGCCTTAACATATACATTTACAAGCGAACAATTACTCCCACATTGTCGAGTATGTGCCGGCACAAGAAATCAAGTTTGATTTCAACAAAGAGCCTTTTCTCTATCAATAGAAGTGATTTCATTATGCCTTAACAAGTGTCGAGGTGTTTTTTTTTCTTAACGAGAGGTATTTCAACTCTTCACTTCTACCAAGACAAAGATATCTCAATCGTACCAACAATATTTTAAAACGTAGAGTTGTTTTCACTATACATGTTTTGTATTTCGCAAACTAAGTTCATTCATCTAAAATGGCCGCAAGAATTGAGATACCGCTGCTCCCCAAAAAGTTCCCATCCCTATCATCCAAATAAGTGGGATGCCTCCATCCTAGTAATAGGAACCACTCCATTACCACCTCACAGTGCATTGAGAGGCCTCTACTTGAAAGCATTTAGATGACTCTATTTAATTCATATTGGGAAATATTTGCCTTACACTATTGCTATAACGACTTTGTGGGTTCAACCAATAGTGTTGGACGCCTACGCTTAGCAACTAGAATGCCTATATTGCTATTATAAGAATCGAAGATGCCTTTGTCCTAGCAAGAAGAGATGGGGAACTCTCCCCATATGCTTCTATCACAATGAAGAAGCCTCTGTCCATCAAACGAAGACACCTTAAAGGGTATCAAATTGTCTTCTCTACCAGCCAGAAGTATTAAAACGTCTCGCTATCTAACACTGATAAAAAAAAAATCAACATGCCTCTGCCCTGATAATAAAAACAAACTCAATGCCAATTATAGGGTGAATAGATGCCTCCCCCCGAAAAGTGTGAAGTTACCTCCATACCAGCCATAATGGTGCACCACGGAGTAGTTATGCCATGATTCATTGAACTTCCTAAGAATATGGGATGCCTGTCTGGCTAGCAGAAAATTTCATGTTACCACTACAAGCATAGAGATGCCTTTTCCATAATTAGGAGGGACAAAAACCTCCCCTATTACCCTTACCATGACAAAGAAGACTTTGCTCATTAACTGAATTCCTCTAAGGGCGTCGAGTAACTTGTTTCCTTGGATGAAAACGTGAGGCCTCTTACGAACAATATATCACAATATTTTCACTAGCCATAACGGACATAGATGCCTATGCCAAAGATAAGAAAACCCATCCATGACTTTATGAAACGCGTAGAGGATCCCTGTAGAAGTGTCAAGGATTTCCCGTTAGAAAATATACTTGCAAAATCAAGGGAAATTTCGATTGAATCGACTACAACCCCCGAAGAGCATTAAATACCATGCGATAGAAGTACAAGCATGAGGAACAACGTCCCTCAATTTTATCCATATATTTTACAAGCATTGAGTACACTTCGCACAAAATAAATAGGAGACATGAGTAAAACTTCATTTGAAGTTAAATAAGAAACCCTACCGGCGTCAAAGAACCTTAGAGAACCTACACGGATTTGAAGGTTGCTTTACCTAGCTTCATTTTATTGAAAACAAAGCACTTCAGAAAGTGTTCAGTATCCTACGTGGACGACATGGAAAAAACACCAAGGGCCCTTTACAAAAAGATATGCGCAAATCAAGAGAAGCTTTCGAGATAACTCTACAATCTATCGAAATACACATTTGATAACTATTCATCAAGAGTACATACAAACCAGGGTAGGAATTTCCCTTGAATCTATTCAGTATCTCAACAGCAGAGAAAACTCCCCCGCTTCGAATGAGCGCAGGACTTGAAGCCATTACACCCAACTTTCATCATCTAACAATTTTCGCAAGTGTAGAAATAACTATGTTTAGTATACAAATAATTTGCTTGGATTTAAGGCCTACAAAACAGAGCACTCCTTGTTTCGGAAAGCCATAATCTCGTAATATGAACTTTAAAAAAGCACCCTATGGTTTGTCAATCGATAATCAAGCATACCTACAAATCATCGTTTTAGGCTCTTCACCCAAATCAGAAGGGGTGAACCATCCACAACCTTCGTAACTTATTTGATCCCATCAATCTTTGAGGTATTAAATCTTGGATCAAGCCACTTTATGACACTCTATCGACATTGGAGATGGGGGACAGTTTGCTAATCGACAGCTACATTCATATACCCTTTTTGCCTATACATAGCAATCGTGATCCTAGACCTAACAAAAGCATGCTAAGAGAGTCAGTTCATGATCAATAAATAAACTCCTGCAACTAAGAGGAGAGGAGATTGATTCTTCTACATTAAGAGAACTGAAAGGCCTAAAACCGTTCGCAAATACATTCCTAATAGTCGACCGACTATTGCTTGTCTATCAGCTGCATCTCTCCTTCCAAATCAAAAGGAGTAAACTGTCATCAGCTGATTTAACCATATTTATTCCAACAACAAAATCCTTGAATTATTATAACTTTTATAATTTAGTCCCCTCCTCCTTAAAGATTCTTTTTAAGTTTAATTTTTTATGAATTTCGTGTTTGTTATTAGATTGTGACATCATCTATTCTATTATTTATTTATTAATTTATTTCATTATTTATTTATTAAAATAAAATTTTCTTTTGGTCAATCATTGAATTAAATGAAATCGGACCGAATGTTCAATCCGAATAAAAACGTGTTCCATAGAAAAATTAAATTCTTAGAGATAAAGTAAAATTAAATTTTAAATGTACAAAAAGTAAAGCGGACATGAACCATATCTAAAGTTCCATTTTATTGATCGTTTAGTGTGGATTGTGGGTTTCTTTTATTATAGATTCTTGTTGTTCAGATTTGGATTGAAGTGAATGAAATTGATAATAAAGGAACCTTCTGAATATACTTAATTTTTATGTTGCTTATTGAACTTGGGGTTCATCGGATTTCTTAAATTTATAATTCGAGGTTTAGTACTTGTAATTATTTTTTCTCTTATTCCTAGGTTTATGTTTCCCGTTGTTACTTTGTACAAGCTTAACGTGATTCATTGTGCCAAATGGCAAGGAACTTAGTCTTCATTGTCGGCAATTTAACTTTCGGTTTCATTGTATCTCTGTTGTTTTGATTGTCCTTTGTAGTTGTCTGTAAGCCGCTTAACTTAGTGTTCACGGTTCAGTCGATGAAACCTATATATTTCATTCTGTTCTTCAACTAATTTTACTATATAAAGTTCACAACGAATCAAGAAGCAATTGCCTCTCATTTCTTCCTACTCTCTTCTTGATTTAAGATTTCTTGCAAGGAAAAGATGAGCAATGTTTCTTCTTTGATATCACCACTTAGAAGGTATTAAATTACTCCCAAAAGCACTTCCTCTCATTTTCTCTTGAGCTTATTACTATATAATTGGTTGCGTTTTGTTATGGTTTAATTTCCGCTTAGTTGGGAAAGTGGCGATGATAACAGTAGGTGCAAGCGGCATTGGAGCAATTACCGTGTGCTTTTTCCATGAAAATGGTACCAAGGTCGTGATCGCAGATATCCATGACAGCAAAGGAGAAGCCCTTGTCAATAAGCTCAGTTAAAGTGCTTGCTACATTCGCTGCGACGTGACAAATGAAGACGATGTCCAGCAGCTCACTGATGCTTACAAGTGTCGTAATTATCAAATAAATAAACTTAATTTTCAATTTAAATAAATAAAATAGAATAGAATAATATAGAGAAATAGGGTCGATTCACAAAGACTAAGGAATTTCTAATTAAATCTAATTTGATCTTTAACCAGAAAATTTGCAAAATAAAATAAAATGGTGGTTTATCTAATTTAATTGAATAAACTAAATAAAAATAAAAAAGCAATAAAAATAAATAATTGAAAGAGATAATGATAGGAGATAGCCTCTGGCTTTGCTTTGACTTAACTCGTCTCGATCCTTTAAATAGATTTTACTTCGAGATTCTTGTCGGTTACAGTCTACAAGGCCCAACCCTTGTACCTTGCTCTTCTTTCATGTGAACTAATTTCCGGAGTCAATCCTTGGAATTTAATTCTTGTTTGGATTTAACTTCAACTATCGATGTTAACGTCAATATCTTCTTTAATGCTGGAAAAGCCTCTGCTCGAATTATGCATCTCAGTGAGAATCGAACCCGATCTTGATTTCCCTTGACGGACCACCGCTAAGTTTGTTCTTAGGGATTTGAATTTGCTACAAGCCGATTCTCCTCCCCAATAGTAAATCAAGACAACATTCAAGCCAAGGTGCAATCACTACAGCAAAATTGTTCTATAGTGGCGTTTTTAGAGGCTTTTTGAGGGTAAGCGCCACTAACTTTTAACATATAGAGGCGTTTACAAACCAAACGCCACAAATTGGTAACTTTAGCGGTGTTTTTATATAAACACTGCAATAGGGTTAATATATAGTGGCATTTTTAACAAACGCAACAATAGGGTAGTATTTTCGTAGTGTTTTTATACAAACGCCGCAATAGGTTCATCTTTAGTGGCATTTTCTAAACAAACGCCGCACCAGATAAGTACTATAGCAGTGTTTTTACAAAAATACAATAATAGGGTTAATCTATAGTGCGTTTTTCAAAAACGCCGCAACAAATTAATACGTCAGTGGCCTTATTATACAAACGTCGCAATAGAGTTCACCTATAGTGGCATTTTTTCAACTAACGTCGCAACATAGTAGTACATTAGCGGTGTTTTTATACAAATGCCATAATAAGGTTCATCTATAGTGGCGTTTGTTACAAAAACGTTGCAAAATCGCGTACATTAGCGGTATTTTTTTCCCTGTAAATGCCACAAAATGATACATATATTCCCCTTTTCCCCCGTCTAATCCTTAATTCTCCAGACCCTAACCCAACACAACCACTATAGCCACTGACCACCACCAGCGTAGCATCAAACAAAAATCGCACTCTTCTGGTCGCCAACTTCTAATTACTTGTAGGTATGTTTTTCTTCTCTTCCGCACTCTACTTTCTTTCTATAACTATCGGCCATGGGGTTTTGTTTGTGTTTCTGTAAAAATTGGGGGGTTTGTGAAACTGATTCATTATTGAATTTAGTTGCTCAAATTCCTTTTTTATGCAATTTCTTTATTCTTCAACCTTTCGCATATATCCAATTGGAGTATAAAAGTTGGCACTCACATCTGTAAAAACATGGCGGAATACCATCATTCTCAAACAAATAAACATCAAAATTCTACCTACACTTCTTAAAAATAAAGCTTTCCAAATGCTCCTTTCTACAGACAACTTCTAACGTGCATATTGATCGCTTGTGAATGTATATGCTAAGGCAAGCTAATCTGTGCAAGTATACACAATTGATGCAAGTAATATAGTAGTGAGTGAGTATCGTCTCCACAAGGATTGTATTAGAAATATCTTTCCACCACAACTAGAACTAATGCCACAAATTAATCCTACTAAGTATTAAATCTAAAAATTAATATTAATGAGCTAAGAATAATGATTCAATGATTGCAGACAAGTGTGGTCGAGACAAAGAAAATATGCAGACAGATAAAACAAAACAAGTATTGGATTAAATATAATGCAAACAACCTCACATATTCAGACGTGTCACAGAGCACTGATGCTAAACTATTGTCTCGGCAACAATTATTTTAAGCCCAGAATGAATTATTATGACTCACTAAACTGCCCGACAAGATTACTAGGTATTCTTAGACGGTTGCTATGGTAATACCTCTCGGCGTTAACTATAGACGTTGTCTTAACCTAATCTAGCCTTTATCCCTTTTAGTTGTTTGAAAATCACTCCTTATCTCTAAGGTAGACAAGTTAGAACTTTACCATCCCGGATTCATTCATTTGCTCACGTTGATCTCTCTTAATTCTCTCGAATTCAAGAATCACTTTCTAGACAAAAGGCTATCTCTCGATGCTTTTACAATTCCCATACATGTTTTATCGAAACCCCAGGTGATCTCTTGATGCTCTTACAGTGTTAAGGAAAAATATTTAAACTACGAGCAAAACAGTCATAAGCAAACATAATTCATCATTCATAAACATAAAAATATTGTTCAGGCAAACAAAGTTTAGCACCAAGTAAAGCATTCATGGTGTTATCAAAGATCATCCAAGATTAAACTGTTTAATACAACCCCAAATGAAATAAGATTTTAAGAACAAAGGAAAAATGACTCCCAAAACTGGGGCTCTGTCGCGATAATCTTGATCAACACCACGCCTGCCTTGGTGATCACCCTCTCTCGAGGCCTGATCACCACTCTGCTATCGTCTGGTTATGGATGACACCAAGGAAGACTGGGGGGTAGACGGAGGGAAAACACTGCAGCTGCTTGCTCACACCTAAGGTATATCTCTTCTTTCTTCTTCCTTACCTCTTTTTTTTTTTGCGGCTACGGCTGATAATTATAAGGAGAATCTCCTAGGGCTTTGCATGCTTTTGGAGTTTCCTTAATTAGCCGTTATTAATTTCCCAAACTTAAAAAGGAAAGGCCGCTGTAGGCTGTCAGAATGATCAAGGCTTGCTTGCACGTGAAGTAGGTTATCCAGCTGGCATGTGACATAGGCGGTTTCGCCATATGTGCTTCAGACTTCTTCAGATAAATCTGGCCTCGGCGAGATAAATCTGCTCCTCACGTTCTCATCTGCTCCATTGGCCTTTGCAACGTTTCATTGTCATGACTGAAATGTTCTTACTCTGTAGAGTTCCTGCACAAAAACAACTCAAACAACCCCTTCTCCTCAGCAGCATCAGTTAAGCCAAATAAATTCTGCCTAGGCAAAACTTATCCACCACAAGAAATTATAACATATATGCAACTAAAAATTCAATGCATACTTTGTTTAGACGAGCAATAACTTAAGTGAAAAGACTATAAATTAAGTCTTTTTACGGAGTTATCACACCCCCAAACTTAAGTTATTGCTTGTCCTCAAGCAATGGATAATAGCTAGAAGAAAATTAAAATTGTCATGGCAAATCAATATCAAGAACATCATCGGGTTTGAGATTTCAGCCCTCAGCAAAATATGTGCCTCAACATGTTCGACAGTCATATTAGTCAAGTCCCCTCCCTAGTCAGGATCTTTTGCTATTGTGTGTGTGCATAATTGTAACCAGTCTATGCATAGAGGTAATTAGAAAACTTAAAGTAAGCACTTCTAGGTTGTCAAGGAAACCAATTATTCATCAGAATTAGTTTATACTCCTAGTTATTTATCAACTTTTATTCTCTTTAGTCACATTTTTTTTTATTTTTTATAGGGGAGTCAGCTCATCACAGCTACAGTTACACGCTCTAGGTGAAAGGGAGCATACCTTCCACCCACATGCTAGTTGGGCAAAGTCATAAATGTGACTAATTTCATTCACTCATATGCCTTGGATACTCTTAATTTCTTTTGGAGTTTTTATTATTCATGCCTTTGCACAGAGGAGTGTCCCTTTGTATTTTTTAAGTTTTCAAGTTTTTAAATACTAGAGAGTTTTTACCTTACCCTTAGAATATTTTTGAAGTCTCGGCAATTAGAAAGTTCTTTCCCTAAAATTTTACAGATTACCTAGAGCAAAGAGAGCCTACAATCGTGTTTATAAGTTTCAAAGGATCAAGCCTAGGGTTGGTTCTCTTCTTCAGACAGTCTTTACAATAATTCTTGCCTAGGCAATAGAATTTTGCATTCATCATTGGGCATCCCTAATTCATTCCTAATAATAATCTTAACCTTCTTATGTCATGACAACCAAAATTTTCAACCAATTAACATCCATTACTATTACTATTTAACAAAGTATGGCAGAATAGACAACACCTCCCCCAAACTTGAGGAATGCATTGTCCTCAATGCATGAAAACCAACTAAATGCTACTATATGCAAATGCGAAAATAAAAATAAAAACGAAGTCTAAAAATAAACTTATTGTGGTGGTGTGGCTTGACTAGACGCCTTCGTGCGACGTCGTTTGAGAGGGGAAGAGAGCTCTCGGATGCCGAGTCTACTGCTTCTAGATGAGAATGAGATGGCTAAAGTATTCGGCCCCCCCGTTCTCTTGTATCGCTTCTTGCTGGTCGACGCGTGGGCTGAAGTGGATTGCTCGATCGCGGGAGTCGGTTATGCTGGAACTGGTGGTGGACTAGGAGCTGGTGTTGGGGCTGGTGGTGTCAATTGAACTGGGAATGGAATGGGATCCTGCTCAGGCTGCTTCGGTGATGGCGTGAAGTCTTCATCAGTAAAGAAGTAGGGTGGAGTATCACTACTGCTTTCAGTGGTGGGGAAGGATGGGGAACTCCTCGGTGTCACCATGGCTTTCTTCTGGTACGGGTGAAACATGGGTTGCCAATGGTGGCACATCAGTGGTCACCACTGGTGGAACGTTTGGAGGGACATTAGATGTCGAGGCATAGAATGTATTGCTGCCCGCATTATAATTGAGGATGACAGTGGGGAAGGTTGGCAGTCTGATCATTGTGGTTGGGAGTAACTCCTTGATGAAGGTGTTGAGTTGCATATCCCTTTTCTTGGCGTATTCAAAGTAAATTTTCATGTGGTCCTCCAGGCACCCAATCTTTTCACGTGTCTCACGCGTGTGTGTGACCACATCGACCATTCTAGTCGCGACAACCAATTTTAATCCTCACTCCAGACCCTCCTTTGCGTCGTCATCATTGAAACTCATCAACTCGAGGACTTTTTTCATTGTAATACCCTCATTGGGTTTGATGAAGTCCTCGAATGGGTCATCATGAACCTTTTTCTTTCTGCACAGCGCAGTTATAAGGTTTGGGAATATTAGGTTACCATGGTTCCTCATGGCACAGTCATGGATCTGCTCAAAGATGATTTCACCCACATCGATTATCCTACCGTATATGATCGAGTACAACAACATTAGCCGCTTGACGAGGATAGTGGTGTTGTGGGACGTTGGCATCAACTTGCTTTTAAGAAAATGGTTCAACAATTTCACATGTGGCTTGAGGGCTCGTCGATCTACTTGTTTTCTTGTGGGGGCATTCCCTTCGAACTTAGCCCACCCAAAACATAAATCCTGTAGAACTCCACTGTACGTTTCTTGATCTGCCTCGGCCACAAATTTCTTATGTTGATCATCCACCTTCCCCAACTTAAAGTATTTGTTAAGTGCAGAAGGGGAAAAGCGAATGAGTTTTCCTTGAACATATATCGTGTGGTTAGAGAATGTCCGCGAGGTGGGCATAGAACTCCCTCACCATTGCTGGTGCTACTACGTTAGGATTACGAGCAAACTTCTCTTATTTATGCTTCTTTATGACGTCCATCACCTCAGGGCCAAATTGTTCTTCTCCCTCGGCTGGAAAAATGAATCCATCTTCCAAATAGACTTGGAGTTGTTGAATAGTTTTGAATCGTGCCTCTGTTTTGGCTGTTTCGAAACGTTTGAAATTCTGTCTGTGGGGTAGGGCCGGTCTCGATCTCACCATTTTTCTTGGCTGATTTTAGTGGTGGCGAAGAGAGATATTTTTTAGAGAAAGAAAGCTAATTTTATGGTTTGTAGAGAAAGATGGAAACACGATGAAGAAGAAGAGTGGGTAGTTTTTTTCTTGGAAAGTGATGGTTGGTTTCTGGGTATTTGTGTCTTTTCTCGCTGGGGAAAAGATTTCTCATTAAATGAGAAATATGTGATTTGACGTAAAGGAGGGGAAAAGATTTATTTTCATTTTGTTCTGCCGCCAAAACCTTTTTCCCTAGCTCGTCCTTTCTCCTTCATGAATGCTTCAACTCCTCATGCTTCCACTTGTTCCACGGGCTCTTTTGTACTCCTTGAGTCTCTGCCCATTCACTTTGAAGATAGAACCATCGTTTTGGTTCTGAATTTCAAATGCTCTATTGTCATGGACTTGGTGTACGATAAATGGTGATTTTAGCTTGCCTGGGAATAACTTAAGGTGTGAATTGTAGAGCAATACTTGTTGTCAGAATAAATTCCCTTGGCAATATTTTTCTGTCATGCATCGTTTTGTTTTCTCCTTGTAAAGGCGGGAATTCTCGTATGCATGTGCTCTAAATTCATCTATCTCGTTTAGTTCCAATAGTCTTCTTTTTCCAACAACCTGAGCATCCATGTTTATCTTTTTTATGGTCCAATAAGCTTTGTGTTCGAGTTCCACCGATAGATGACATTCCTTTCCATAGCCTAGCTTGAACGGGTACATTCTCAGTGGTGTCTTGAATACTGTACGATAGGCCCATAGTGCTTCATCTAGCTTTGGCGACCAATCTTTTCGACTTGGGTTGACCACTTTTTTTAGGATCTACTTGATTTCTCGGTTAGATACTTCGGCTTGTTCATTCGTCTGAGGGTGATATGCCATAGAAATTCTATGTCAAACTCCATATCTTTTTAGTGCCTTGGCAACAAATTTATTATCAAAATGTGTCCATTCATCGCT